GCCAGGCTTGAATACTGCAAAGCATATCCATAAGGCAAGTGAGCTGGTGCAGTGAGGTATTGTGTGGCCTAATTAGCCAAGCCAATATTACTATCTGGTTACGGCAAAAGCTCAGGGGTGGATCAATTATTCAGACATGCAGTCCATGTTTCATATTTGACTCATCCTCTTCTTTCTTCTATATCCAATCCAGTCATTTCTTCCTGTCCAGCTGATTATAATAATAGCTTTCCCCTTTGACGTTGTGCCTTACATATCCTACTCTGCAAGCTCCAGAGTTCCCTAGGAAGAGGAACTAACCTCTCAGCACCCTTAATAAACTCCACTTCCCAATATTTTAGAGGGGAATTCATGACTGTTTAAATAGGTATGATATTGCTTTAAATGTATGCTGCAGATGGGGCCTAAAACCACCAGAAGATTAATATCTGGGGCAGAGAGAGGAAGGCAGAGGGCAAGGAAGACCTGACACAGGAATGGACGGATTATGAAGTTAACAGAATCAAAGAATCAAAGAGCTAGAATGGAGAGAGGGTCATCTAGTTCAACATCCTGCAATGCAGGGGCTCAAAGCCATGACCCTGACCTGAAAATGAAAGCCATGGTAGGAACTGGGGAAAGCCAGAAGCGAAGTTGAATGAAATGACAAAGCAAAGAGTTGGGCTCAACGCAAGAAAGAAAACTGGGAGCAAAGTAAAGAGGACTTCCAGACCATCGTTAGTCTTGGGTGGGATTCAGCCACATCCCAGCCAATCCCGTTTGTGCAGTCAAGGTGATTGGGAGGCCTTGAACAACAAACCCACTCCTCCCAAAAGAATGGACTTTTTGCAAAATATTCCCCCTCTGGGGAAAGCTGGTCATTTTCCAGGACTTCTGCAGCTTTACAATATGCAATTGGAAAGAACAGAGAGCTGGAGAAGCCTGTCCTTGTCATCCAGTAATCTCCTGCCATAGTTAGATTCGCCTTGGAACAGAAACAACGCATTTGAATGAAATGGTAAGGTGTTTATAGAGCATGCAGAGATACCGTCTGTTTAAAACAGAAGACTCGGTAAATAAGACTCTGCTCACAAGGTGACCGGAGCCCTAATACAGTGGGCACAGGGGGGAACTGGAACCTACAGTGGGACACTTTTAATAAGCAGCCATATGTTAGCTGGCCTTGCATTACTAGGGATGATGGAGTTTTGCCACAAATCCCAATATACTATGGGGTTTGTGATGGTGCTTTGTGAGAGGGCTGAGGTGGGGTTTGTGATGGCCCTTTGTGAGAGGGCTCAGGTGGGCTTTGTGATGGCCCTTTGTGAGAGGGCTGAGGTGGGGTTTGTGATGGTCCTTTGTGAGTGGGCTCAGGTGGGGTTTGTGATGGCCCTTTGTGAGAGGGCTGAGGTGGGGTTTGTGATGGCCCTTTGTGAGTGGGCTCAGGTGGGGTTTGTGACTCAAACCCTTAGGATGAGTCCCCAGTAGCATTTCAGCTTTCAGCCTTGTAGATGTTAGCAGTTATGGAATTGGACAATAGCTCTTTAAAGAACACAGCCAGCTCCTCCACAAAGGCAGGGCTAATTGCAGGGCAGGGTTTGCCAACCTCAACCTCTTTGCTGAGACAACATCCACCCATTAACCACAATCAAGAGAAAACTGCAGCCACTGGAGGTTACAGGACCTGTCCATGGTCCTGATAGGGCTTGCCTAAATCTGGGTGTATTTTTATTTTTATTTATTTCTTAAGATCTATACACCACTTGATTGCAAGAAAAGCTCAATGCAGCTTACAAAAAGAGTAAAACCATAAAATCATGTAAAAAAAGGAAACAACTATTGAAAACATTGAAAAATAAATAAGATCAACGATGGGCAGGGAGTAAATTAAAATGTATGTCAAGATTCTACATTTATGGATGTTTTTAGCAGGCACCAAAAAGTGTAGAGTGAAGGTACCTGCTTGGGAGTTCCAACTGAAAATATCAATTTCTTACAAATGTGGATCAAGTATTATGTGACACTTGTAACAGTGCCAGTTCCACAGATCCAAGCACTTGCATGGGCATATATAGGATAAGGAAATCTCACAAGTAAACTAGGGACAAGCTGTTAAGGGCTTTATATACTAACATGTATATTTGACCTTGGCCCTGAACTTGATACTGCTAAATTGAGGCACATGCTAAGGAGCCTGACCTTACCTGCATGACCCTGCTGTTCACTGTGATATTATCTGACATGACCACACTGGGAAGAGATATTTACCTAATATTGCCTTAAAAAAAAAAAAGCCTGCTGCCACTTTCTCTGTGACCCCAGAGCCCCAGGGGATCAGAACTTTCATTGCACCCCTTTCCTGATCAGCATAAGAGGATGTCTGGAGCCCAGGAAACAGGATTTGTACAGCATTCATGTAGACTGATTAATAGATACTGAATTCTTGCCTGAACTTGTCATGAGTACTCTCAGGTACTATGACCTATTCACCATTTTTTTCCTGAAGCAGACATCCAGCTGGTTGAGAGATGGCAGTTCTGCAGCACAACCGAAGTCCCATCCACGATAGCCTGGTTAATCATCTTTGCTACGATTGTTCATTGGCCCTGGCCAAGTGAAGTAGTCTGGATGCTTTCCATGCTGAAATCATCAAGCCTAGGGTCAAATATTTAAATACAAATTGTTTTAATAAATGTGCAGGGTTTTAGTGTCAGGAACGCTATTCAAGAAACCCAAACCGAATCTTCTCATTTAAAGTAACTGTCACCTTTAGAAGACATCTGAAGACAGCCATGTAAAGAGAAGCTTTTTAATATGCAATGTTTTATTATGTTTTTATATATGTTGGAAGCTGCTCATGGTGCCACACAGTCAAATGGGTGGGGTACAAAGAAATTATTATTATTATTATTATTAAAGTGCTTTTTTGAGGACTTTCAGGCAAGCTGCTGTTGCAAAGACTTCTGCACACAACATACAGATAAATTAAGGAATGTCAGTAGGAAGCTACTTTATTTATACAGAGTCAGAACATGGGTTCATCTAGCCCAGTTAGGGTAACACGGACTGGCAACAGCTCTCCACGGCTTAAGGCAGATTTCTCTCCTAGCCTTACCTGGAGATGCCAGCAACTGAACCTGTGAACCTCTCCATGAAAAGGGTACCATGAAATGTGGTCTTTCTCTGCTGAGTTCCCTTGGCTGCATTTTGTGTAGGCCCTGGGGCAGAAGGGAAGGTTGGACTTACAGATGAATCTGACCCCGGAGATGCTGTCTCTGGGGATCACAGTTTGGGGGTCTCGTAAGAGCATAATAAGAACCAATGGCCCACCTAGTCCCGAATCCTGCTCTCATAATGCTCAACCAGATGCCTGTGGGCAACTTGCAAGTAAGTCTTGAACACAGCAACACTGTTGCCTTCTGTGGTTTCCAGCAACTGGCATTGAGAAGCATTACTGCCACTGGACATGGAATCTCTGGCTCAAGTTTAGAATGGGGGACCCAGGTCTGGGTCCAGCACCTCATTGAGAGCCAGTGTGGTGTAGTGGTTAAGAGCAGTGGACTCGTGATCTGGTGAACCGGGTTCGCTTCCCCGCTCCTCCACATGCAACTGCTGGGTGACCTTAGGCTAGTCACACTTCTCTGAAGTCGCTCAGCCTCACTCACCTCACAGTGTTTGTTGTGGGGGAGGAAGGGAAAGGAGATTGTTTGCTGCTTTAAGACTCCTTAGGGTAGTAATAAAGCGGGATATCAAATCCAGACTCCTCCTCCTCATCTGCTTGCACTGCCATTTTTTTAAAAAAAATCTGGCTGTGCACTCCTCCTCTGGGTCAGAGTTTGAGCTGCTGCTCAGGGTGTGGGTAGTGAAAGATGCAGATTATAGCCTTGTTCAACTGGAAAGGCAGTATCATAAAAGAAGGATTTCATGTTGGGTATTTAAGAAACCTCACCTGCCATGGGATCAGCACCTGGCAACAGAACAAAAATCAGAGGTGGGGGTTCAATATTGTCTGCAATGAAGAGTTGGGTGGCTGGGATGATTTTATCTTGTCTCAGGCATCGGAGAATGACCATGCAGTCAAGACCCGTGACCAGATTCCATTCACCAGGAAACTCTACTTCATGAGGTTTGGCAGAACCATAAATCGTTTTCCACTCCACAACATTGGACTCCACATGATGCAACAGCCCATGCAAGTTTTTCAGCCCTGAGGAATGCACAATTTCAGCCCATGATTTGTCAGACAACCACTCTGGGCCAGGATTCGCATCCGGATTCTTGAGCGCAACCTCACCTGTCAGTAGGAAACGCCAGACCTCACCATCAATCTCATCTCTCCCTTTAACGATCCCTATAGTCAGAAGGAAGGAGAAAAGAAGCTTGACCTTCTCAAACAGGGATCGGCAGTCGTTGTAGATGCTGATTGTTAAATGTTCAATTATTAAGTCAATCCTTTCTTCCAAAACGTCACTTTTCCTGCTATTGGCAAGAGACTGGACATAGCAGTTAATAAACCATATCAGGGAATATTGATACATTGGTTCCATGTCAGCCAGATCAGACACGCAGAAGACGACTATTGCTAAATGAATGGCCACTGGCTTTTGCCCCAATTCAGGTGGTATCTATTTCCATTTCAGTAATAGTGGTAATTTCTTGCTTTTCAGAGATTTCTTCAGACAAGTCTTTGGAGGAAGAGATGATTTTAATAGCTGTTTCATCTTCTTAGATACCATATTTTTCGCCCTATAGGACGCACTTTTTCCCCTCCAAAAATGAAGGGGAAATGTGTGTGCGTCCTATGGGGCGAATGCAGGCTTTCCCGGGCTTCCTGCAGCTCTGCGCCACCCTCCAAATCCCGGCGCGAAGCCGCGCGCGGCTCCGGAGGGTAGCGCAGAGCTGCCTGCATTCCGAAGCCTGGTGCGCGCTGAAGAGCGCGCCCGGGCTTCGCGCACCTCTCCGCAAGCCTGGGGAGACCGGCGCGGCTCCCTAGGCTTGCGGATAGCAGGCTGTTCTGGGGGCTGGGGTCGGGGGAAGCTCGGGCTTCCCCCACGCCTGCCCCGTGCCTGGGGGGGAAATATTTTTTTTTCCTTTATTCCCCCCCCCAAAAAAAAAATTAGGTGCGTCCTATGGGGCAGTGCGTCCTATGGGGCGAAAAATACGGTATTTCCTTCTGACTTGGAAAGACCTTCCAGGATTTCGTCTTCAATCTCCTCCAGCTGTTTCTTGTTTGCTGCACTTTCTACAATCAGCTTGTTCTTCTCTTTCAGCTCAGGCTTTTCCTTCGCAGCCACAATCCCAAGAAGCTAAATTTTATGGTGCCCCTATTTGATGAAATAAAAGCAAGTGTAGCTTTTACACCTGCAAATGGGTATGGTGGCAGAGCAAAACTTCTCTGATGATCCGGGAGAAATCGTGCAGGTTGAAGACGTAGTGAGATTTTGAAGGAGTTAGGAGAAGTTTTTCCGCAGCCATCGTTTTGCCAATCCTTTGAAAAGGAGCAAAAAACGTTAAATGTAACCCTGACCTTTCTTTCCAACATGCCCCACCCCTAGGTTCTCTTCTCCCACTTTGCCATGGTGAAGAGTTGCAGACATCACGAGGGATGAGCAAATCCGTTAATTTTGGTTTCTCATTTTCCCAATTTTATGTTCAGTTCTGCTGATTTCCACACCGGCTTGCAATACGCACCTCCCTGGCCAAAAAAAAATAAAAATCATTAGCATTTGAGTGCTAATTTCCCCTAACATACACATTTTTGTATGTATTTGCCTAATATATCCATTTTTGCAAGCCATTTTCCCCAACGTAATTCATTTCTGCATGTTATTTTCAGAAATATATGCATTTTGTGCACTGATTACCTTAGTAATAATAATAAATTTTATTTATTTATATTTTATTTATACCCTGCCCTCCCAGGCCAAGACCGGGCTCACGGCGGCTAACACCAGGTATAAAAACAATTGATTAAAATACAACTTAAAAAACAAGATTAAAATGCAACATTAAATTGCAGCCACATTTCAGTAGAAACTCAAATCAAAAACTTTTTTGGGAATGAAAACGTCAAGTGCTCACCAAGGCTAACTATCCAGACTGGTCCTACATGAGCCAGAAAAAAAGCCAGGGAAGTCCCCAAATAGGAGTTCCATCACAGAAGGAGAGTGGAGGGAAAAGAAAGAGGGGGAGGGGATCAAAATGATTCCAAGCCAAAGGCCAGGCGGAACAACTCTGTCTTACAGGCCCTGCGGAAAGAAATCAGGTCCTGCAGTGTAGCACCCTGCTTGTGGTTAACGCTTAGCTGGAATGAAATATTCAACGCAGCAATAGAGAAATTAAAATAATAATTTATTTGTCAGACAAATAAATGATAGGCACAGTGGTATATGGTTACCAAAGCTCTGCCCACTCCAGCCCTGATGGCCAGCACTTATATTTCCTCAGCCCAGCCCCCTTGCTCCTCCTTTGGCTGCCTCTGTCCAATCAGCCTGGTTGAAATTCCTATTGGCTGTTTGCTAGAACCAATCATAAAAGATACACCCATTTCCTATTACCTTTTATGGGAGACAAAGAGCTGTATTTCCTTCTATCCATAAATGGCAGACAAGTAGCCATATATCTTACATTTGTCTCGACAAGGCACCTTAATTACCAGATCACCTTTTGCCCTATTGCCCCTTCACTCCAAAACAGATGGCTAAAACAGATGGCTCATGGTAACAGAGATCTTGGGTTCACATTCTCACACACCATCAATGAAATAAGAATCTAACATTTCTTACTTTCTAAATCCTTTGCATTGTTACATTAAGCCAATAAATTTCATACATAACATAGATAGATTTTTAGAAGAAAAGGAACTTAGTAAAAACAGTTTCAAAAGCAACCTCTTCAATTTACAGCCAAAGTACTTAGCCAGCTGCTTTATGCCTGGCATGAAACATACAAACATTTGCAAATATATCTTTAAGCTCATTTTAAAATACAGGCCTTGATCAGATGCCTCAGCAGGGCCCTGGTCTCATGAGACAAAGCATTCCACCAGGCCAGAGCCAGTGTAGTATATGCATTGCGTGACCAGTCAGCAACAGCCCCAGCCACCAGGGATCATAAGGAAGGAATAAAGACTCTGACAACGTTATGTGGAATTAAAATTAGGCCACAACTTTATTAAACTTCCGAATGTAGGAAGACCTTGGCTTAGGCCTTGGGCGTGTATCCCTCCCAGCCCCCCAGCTGGGGGGAACTGGGGCTCATCAGAGTAAATGGGATATGGGGGTGCTCTGCGAGATGTAAGTGTAGCAGGGCAGCCAAGCCCATATCCCCGCACGCAGGGTAGTTCACTGATGACCTTTTGGTGTATGGCCAGCGACACCCATATATATAACCCCTTTAAGAGGGGGACCCTGGAATCGCCGCCGCCAAGGGGTGAGTCACCACTTCACGCCCTGCCCCCCACCATATAGGGAAGAAAAGACTAAAGGATTCCACCCAAGGCCATAACTGCCACCTGAGACCACGAATTTGCAGTCTTGCTGCCAAGACCACCTACATCCGGAAAACCATTCACCTTACCTCCAACCACTCCATCAGGCCATGCCTGATGTTGCACAACAAGAGCTCACTCACAGGGCACTCCTGTGAACTGGTAATGAGTTAAAGGGTGGCCAGATGCATGAACAAGGAACTGGCCAGGCTCCTCAGGGCAGGCTCTCATAAATTAACACATGTCTGCCACAGGGCAAGGCCCAGGCTGCGAGACTAGAGCAGGCCAAGAAACAAGAGGGAATGAAATGACATGAATGCTAGCAAGCCAATGCACAGGGCTATAAATGGCAGGTAGACAAATCCAAATTGCAAGGGGGACCCCAGAGGTCATCCAGACCAACCCCCGGTCCCACAGAGGGCCCAGCAAAAAATTGGGCAAATACCATGAGCCGGAATAGCACCCCAACAGCGGCTGCCCTGGAACAAAGGGAGGCTTCACTAGGCCACAGCCCTCTCGCTGCAATCCAGCATCTGCAAGGAAACAAAGGAAGGCCTCACTAGGCCTCACTAGGCCGCAGCCCTCTCGCTGCAGTCCAGAATCTGCAAGGGAACAATTGGAGGCTTCACTAGGCCTCAGTAGGCCGCAGATCCCCCCGCTGCAATCCAGCGGCTGGCAGGGAACAAAGGGAGGCCTCAATAGGCTTTGCTAGGCCACAGGCCCTCGAAAAATGGAAGACCTAACAGGCCTCGCCAGCAGTAAGCAACAGGAAGGGGGGATTAATAACAAAGAGCTGTCAAGGCAGCTTGGCTCCATGGAAGGAAGTATGATAGGGAAGAAGGAAACGTGGAAAAGGAAATGGAGCCCCAAGTACTCGCCACTCTGTGCCACTCTGGCTATTGTCGGCTCCACCCCCTATTTATAAAAATGGGGCTAGCCCCACCTCCCAGCAAGAAACTTGATTACTGTGGCTGGGTGTGGACCTCCAAAAATTAACACTGAGAGGCAAGCCTGCCCCTGTTTGCCAGTAAGCTCCCTGGGAACAGTAGCACCACACACGATCCCAGAAAGGGCACCCACAATGTAAAGTGTGAGTGCTGATTTTGCATACATAGCCTGGCCGGCGAACTTCCTTGTTAAGATTGGGAAAGTGCAAAGGATTTCCTTTTGCACAAGTCCTCCCTCCAGGCATCTATCCCAAACCCTCCCCAAATCTGCTCCAAAGGGTTGGAGCAACATATCTAGGGGGAGTTCCATTGCACAAGCAGAAATCCTTGTGCTGAGACAATGGTTTAATTGGATACTGCTCGTTATTTCTCCCTCATCCCCATTCATAATTCAGTGGCAGAGCACGTGGTTTTACATTTTAGTCCCTGGCATCTCCAACACCTGAAACCCTGGAGAGCTGCTGCCAGTCAGTGCCATAGCTGTCAACTTACAGATTTGAAAATAAGGGACCAGCAGCCTCGAAAATAAGGGATCAGCAGCCAAAATAAGGGATTTTCTGGGCACAGGTATGTTCAGCTTCTGAGCCCCTCTGAGCCAAAGGCAGAAAGCCCAGCCAGCAGCCAAATGAAGCCTCATCAATAAGGGACACCAGCGGGACATGGCGCTGGGATAAGGGACTGCCCCGCCAAATAAGGGACACTTGACAGCTATGGTCAGTGCAGACAGCACTAAGTTAGATGGACCAACAACAGCTTTCTATTTTGCTAACCATGGAGGTTTTTTATCAGCCTCCTGATCCTAAATCAAGTGTCATTTCAGATAACACAACAGTATAGGATTCTATAGCAAGAGCAGTGGCAGTGGTAGATAGTGGCTAGATGTTGTTGGGGAAAATGCATTATGGAAAGAGTTGATGTGGTCTGGAATCCTAGGATGTCACCACAGCAGGCAGTTCTTTTCAGTTAGGTCTGTTATCAAGTGCAGAGAGTGAGAGAGGGAGTTTCACTGTGCGTCTTACACTGCTATGTGCCTCAGAATAAGTTTGTAAAATCTCATGTCTGCCAGTTTCGTGTGTGTGTGTGTGTGTGTGTGTGTGTGTGTGTGTGTGTGTTTTCAGTGCTTTTTCTGGGGGACGCAGGGGTACTCATACCCCTAAACATTTTGTGAATCAAACGGAAGAAACTAAAAATTTTAAACATTTTATTTTCTTCTCTAGCACGGTGAATCCTCCATTCTGTTGCTACCCCCGATGGCGGCCTCATTTCCTGAGTCTCAGACTGAACAAGCATTTAATGTGTGAAGTAGAAGTTGGAATCTAGCATGAGGTAGTGCATGTTCCTTTTACTTTTATCCATTTATTGTATTTATTTTCCCCCAATCTCAAGTATAAAATGGTGATTTCCTTGAGTCAAAATGAGAGTAACCCTAAACATTTTTCCACCCAGAAAAAAGCACTGTATGTTTTATCGTACCAAAGAAAGTTATGTGTTATGTTTAAACTCCTGGGGCAGCTTCTGCACATACAAATACCACAACATGTGCTCTCTTGAAGAGAAGCACATTCCTCAGAATAGTGGCCTCAGAATACTGGTCTCAAATCTCAAATCTAAAGTTTGATCATCAAAGGCACTGATGGAAACAATGGCCAGGTGCCTTGTGAAACGCCCTGTGAGACACAAAGGAAGGCAGAGTAAGTCTCAATGCAGCTTTGCCATTCCTTCTGGTGACCCCAGGCAGATAGTTGAAACTGCTGGTGAAGGTGGCAAGGTCATAGCTGTCAACTTTCAGATTTGAAAATAAGGGATCAGCAGCCTCACCTGTCCCGGGGACACTCTACGGGATATCTAACAATCCGGGATAGCAGCGGGAAGCAGCGGGAAGCAGCAGGAAAAGGTGCTGGAATAAGGGAATTTCCCGCAAAAAAAGGGGGAAGGTTGACAGCTATGGGCAAGGTCACGTCTACACCATACATTTAAGGTACTATTATGCCACTTTAAATTGCCCGGGCTTCTTCTGCCAAAGAATCCTGGGAACTGTAGTTTGTTAAAGGTGCTGAAAGTTGTTAGGAGAGCTACCATTTTTAGGCTGATCCATATTGCTTTAAGACTGATTGACACGCAACTACCTGAGTCTGAAAGTAGAAGGGGAAAGATGTTGGGCACCCTCACCTTCTAATATGAGTGCTCTTGATAAGGTTTCCAGTCAGGGTGACCCCCTCCTTCCTCCATGTTTTCCACCTCCCCACCCCAATTAATTATTCCCTGGGTAATGAGCATGTCCAGTTCTTATGGCACCAGCTTTTGTGTTTGTACATTTCCCCCATTGCCTTTAGATTTTCTTCTTTCTCCATGGCTCTTTCTTAGCTACAAGTCTAACATTCACCTGTTGAGTTTGTTATTAAAGGGAAAGATGGTGCCCTTTTGCAGCCCTTCTCAACCTTGGGTCCCCAGATGTTGTAGCTCTACGACTACCACCATCCCTGACCACTGGTCCTTCTAGTTAGGGATGATGGGTGTTGTAGTCCAACAACATTGGGGACCCAAGGTTGAGAAAGGCTGTCCTATTGCATTTAATCTGACATCATGCCGGTAATATCATTCCTTCCACCTCCCGGAGGCCCCTTTGCTGAAAGGAACAGAACATTAACAATAGCAAGCCTTGAGGTGTCCTTCTTGTCATACCAGTGGCTGTGATCAATCTATTGCCTAAGGAATTCTATAGAATGCTAGGCTCCATATACCTCCTTGGCAGACATATTTAAGTCATCTAGGAAGAATATTGATGCATTTATCTTCCAAAGACAAAAAATAACTCCCTCTACCCCTCTCCCTCTCCCCATCAACACAAGCAAGCAAAGAAAGGGAGAGGATGAGAATGAGAATGAGTTAGAGTGTTAGGCCAGGGGAGACCAGGGTTATTAAATCTCCACTGAGTTCTAAAACTTACACCTTCCCATTGCACCAGGGAGTGCATTTGACAGGTGGGGAACTGCCACCGAGAGGGCCCTCAATCAATTCCAATCAAGGCACATCCAGTGGCAGCACCTGGGATAAGAAAGGAAAGGGTGGTTCTTGGAAAGTTATCGTTTCACTGGACTGTTCATCCTGACAATGTGGTATATTTGATATGATTACAGGAGGAGTGCGAGGGAGACCTTGCCGAGGCAATGCCAGCCCTGGAAGCTCCCCTTTCGGCTCTCCATACCCTGAAGCTGGCAAATACCTCCTTTGTCAAATCCCTACAGGATCCACCAGGACCTGTCAAGCTGGTCATGGAGAGTGTGAAAGAAAAGCCAGAAAGAAAGCCTGAATCAAGTGGAAAGGGGGGATGTTTTTCAGCCAACTGGGATTGGGAACAGCCAGCCTTTATCGGCTGGGGGCAGACCGGGGTGAAGCCCCATCTACTTAGCCTGGCTGTATTGGCCACCAAATGGATGGTGGAAAAGCCTGCCAATCCAAGTGGCCGACATAGGAATTCCCCAGCCGACGGCCATCTTGTCACAGCGTTGCTTCCTGGGGATCAGAGCCTGCCACGATAGGCCACAACAGCTGCCCAGCCCGTGTCTGGGTAAGCTGCCATTCTCTCTGACCACCTCCTTGTTAGTATTTTGTGGGAGGGATTGCAGTGTACACTGGAGATTTAGGTTGGCGCAGTTAAAGTGGATTAAAGTGCTCTGTCATCCAGCTTGCTCCTTAAAGTCCAGATATAATCTAACTTCTGCATAAGCTTTGTGCAAGCAAATCAAGATGCATGCCCAATAAGTGGCTTGTCGGGTGGAGCTCACTGATCCAGTTGTTGACGATGCCTTCTGTCTAAGAGCAATCTTCATCTGCTCTTCTTTTTTAAATAGATGACCATGTCCACTCTGTGGCTCCTTGGTCTTTTCCTATTCGCTGTGGTGCGGACCATGGTTGGCCCCACCAACTCTTGATTCCAGGTGTAGGTTGGATTTGGCTTAGGCATTGGAGGGCTGGCGCATGATAGAGTCTGTATAACAATAGCAGCAACTCCCCATCCCACACACCACTTTCAAATTACACTGCAAAAGTAAAGAAAAAGTAAAGCAAACTGTAGGGAAGGCCAGGAATGGATTTTCTGTGAAAACAAATTCCTAGGTGGAAAAACTGCAGTCAGAGGCAGGGATGGAAGGCTCTGTCAGTTTCAGTTCTCTTTCAGTTAGTCTAAGGCTATCAGAGAATTCCTATGACTTTCCAGTTTTGTTGAATATGAACTCTCATCATTCTATTATAATTATTTTTTAAAAAATATATATTTTATTCAGATTGTTGCATTTATGACCTTTTTATTGACATGCAATATTTTATGAATTGTTGCATACAACCCTAGTAAAAGAGAATTACATGAAAATGATGTATTGGTGGTATCTGGTTAAATTAGCAAAAATGTATAGAACAGGATCTAATAAGTGTTGGAAATGTAAAGAAGCAGGGTATACAAGATGCCATGCTAACAAAGTGATAATTACTCCTTGGCTATGAGACATAAATGAGAGCTATTACATGACCATCCATGTCTTAGGACAAGCTTACAAGCGATGGACCCTTCTTGGTGGTGAGGCCAAGATGGCAGAACCATTGGTTCCAAAATGGTTACATTTTTAAATGTTTCTCCCAATGTGAAAACAAACTCTGCTGAGTTGTCACATAAGAGGCAAAAAGAGTTTTCTAGCTACGAAGCCACAGCAACAGCACAATTTCCCCCCATATTGCCTTCCACCTACTGTGGAACGCGCTGTTTGTACCGCCAAACTTTGCAGTGGACAATTTGCAGGGGTTGGGCACCATTTTCAAGTGAATCGGACGTCAGATTTTTTAGTAAAAACATGACCCGTGGGTCAGGGCACCAAGGGCTCGTTTTATGGCCTACCATGAAGCGTGGTGTTTTCACCACCCAAATGGACCCTTGCTCTGACCCACTCTCTTGCTCTAGCCAACATGTGGGGAGTTGTTACTGGCACTGGCCTATCTGAAAGTCTTCAGTGCAACCAGAAGATAGTCCTGTGGCATCAATACCTAGTGGTCATCCCCAGCCCATACTTTGAAAAATACTGTGCTGCATCATTTTCTTGGCTTCTGCAGAGAGCCACTGTGATCCAATGCATGGAATTTTGGACTCGCTTTGAGTATAGCAGGGTTCAAATCCAGGCTCATATTATGAACCACCCAGGCCCACTGGATACTGGAAAACCATGGGAAGGAAAACAAGCTTCAATTTATTGCACACTGATCTTTTCTGTCAGTTTTTCCTGAATCACTTCAAGTTCAATGACTTGACCACAAGGTGGAACACTCAGATCACCGAAGCAGATTCAGACTGCGCTTCTCATATGAGGACCTAGCCATTGCTAGAATTCCCATTTCAACATAACTTGCATTCATTTCTCCTCTTCCTAGTTGTGAATACAAAAGAGCTTTCTTCTACGGCTGCCAGATTTGCCAGTTGGCCCTTTCAACTTGACACACATTTCCAAAAATGCAGAATACAGCTTTTGCAAGTGAAATCTTTCACTGCCCAGGCACACCGATATAGAAATAATCCAAATCTAAGAAATGACCAGATATTCATGCAGTGAATTTTAAAATACCTTGGCCTTTTTGGCTGCCTCCACATGAGTGTCTCCAAGCATTACCGAGTCATTGTTCACCTGAATCACAACTGACATTCTATGCTGTTTGGAGTCTGACACTTTTAAACCTAAGTCTATCAAAAGAGCCTGGCAAGATCGGACCTAAAACACACCTGCTTTAGTATCCTGCTCCCTCAGTGGCCACGCGGGTGCCTATAGGAAGCCCTCGAGGGGATCATGAGCATACTCCTCAATTAAAATTCCAGCAAGTGGAATATTGCCTCCAATAGAGGGGTATCGGGGACTGTTTGGACACTGAGCAGTGGTGGCTGGGCAGAAAGAGAGTTGCAAGACTGACTTGGAAGAAAGCAGCAGTGATCTGGGGGAGCCTGTAACAGCCAGGAGATGAGAGTCAGAGGCAGGAGATGATGCAGGATAGAAAATCATCATCATCATCATCATCATCATCATTTATACACCGCCAATCAAACATTAAAAACTGCCCTAAACAGTGCTGCCTTCAGATGTCTTCTAAAAGTCAGATAGTTGTTTATGTCCTTGACATCTGCTGGGAGGGCATTCCACAGGGCGGGTGCCACTACCAAGAAGGCCCTCTGCCTGGTTCCCTGTAACCTCACTTCTCACAGTGAGGGAACCACCAGAAGGCCCTCAGAGCTGGACCTCAGTGTCCGGGCTGAACGATGGGGGTGGAGACGCTCCTTCAGGTATACTGGGCCAAGGTCGTTTAGGGTTTTAAAGGTTAACGCCAACACTTTGAATTGTGCTTGGAAACGTACTGGGAGCCAATGTAGGTCTTTCAGGACCTGTGTTGTACAGTCTTGGCGGCCATTCAGAAAGTGAAGAACAGGTGGTGGAGGAGGGAGGGATATGGCAGGCTGTGTTGGATCAATGACTTCCACACCTCCTCCTCCTGCCCCCTGCTTCTCCTGTTCCACTGTCTCCAAGGTCAAGAAGAAGATTGAAGAGGGAGGAGCAGGAAGAGGTTACACTCAGACGGAGTCTGCGTCTACTTGCGCACAGCTCAGATAGTGGAGATACATAAGCTGAAGCCCAGGGTGGAACTTCTCCATTGCAGCAACTGCCTTGACAGCTGCATGCCTGGGAGTAGCCGAGAGACGAAGGACCGATGAGCATGTTATTGTCTTCCAGATGCACCAGTGGCTATGACACAGCTGCTGTGGACTGGACCCTTTGGGGATTCGAGAAATCCTATGTTGAATGCCATTCTATGACCCGATTTCAACCGTGCGTGTCTGAAAGCTGTCAAAATTGCCCAAATCAACTGCTTCTTTGTGCTGGGCTTTCCTGGTGTGGAAAGAGCTTTGAAGCTCTCTGGCTCGCTTCCTAGACTCTGGGGTGCTCTTGTGAGATCTTATGGGAACTCAGACAACCCCTTCAAGGTCTTGCGAGAGCACCCCCAGAGCCCACACACTGAGCAGGACTTGCGCAATAAGCAAGGAGGAGAGCTTAAAAGCTCCCACCTTGTTTGGTGGGAAGGAGTAAGGCCCTCTTAGCATGCCTGCTCTGGAAGAAAGGTTTGCTTGAGCCGGGTAGTTCCAAGGGGGCAGGTTGTGTATACACGGTTTTGCGTGTGTGCACCACCCCCAAAACATAACCCTTGCGCAAGATGCAATCATACTGTATTAAGCGCCATAATGAAATGTCAGTGCTTTCCTTTAAAGCACCAATAAATAACAGCCACGGGGGGTGGGGGGGTGGACTTGAGTGCTCTATAGGAGACATTTGCACAATCAGTCCAGTAATGCATCTGCTATCTGAAGCTCTCCCAATGCAACACTCAGATTTCTATGGGTGGAGTGGTTTTCAAGGAGTGGCATGGCAGCTGAGATGCCAGCTTTTGGAAACAGACACTGTTGCAGAGTGACAGATGACAACAAATTCTTACATGGAGGATTCTTGAAATGCAGTCACTCCTTGATTCTTTTGTCTTGCTTTGAAATTTTACCCCTTTGACTAAGAGAGATTTGATTTCATCTGATATTTTTAGGTACAGAAGTTTGTTTGTTTTTTGCAATTGGGCATATTAAAAGGGGGACTTCTGTCTTGCAATGAATGTCATGATATGTATCACCAGCTGTCCATTTCTAAGAAAGTAAGGGGCCTTTAATAGCTACACTTTGTGCCTATATAAGGTAAAGGTTGGGCATGCCACTCATTAAGGATTCCATGGAGAAGTCTAAAGCAAGTGATACGATCAAGACCATTTTTTGTATTATAAGTAAACATATACATATGCATGCACACAGACTCTCATTTTGGAAGATTATAGCATCCTCAGCAGACTGGGTTAAGATTTCAGCTCACTCCACAATCTGGAGCAAACCTTCCCAGTCTGCAGCCAATAGATTATGCTCTGCTCAGAACACAAACATATGGATTAGATTGCATGCCTATGTGTTGGAGAAAAGCAACTACATTTCCTTTTCTTGAGTTCATAGTTAAGGCATGTGTTACTTAAACCATCAGAGGGCACTGTTTGTGTATCAGTGTCACCACCATTTCTTGTAACGCCACCCTTAAAAGCTGAGCCATTTGGTTTGTTCTTCTCTGCAGACAAGATGTCTTCTATTTTCTCTCATCTCCACCCACCCTGTAAATAGTTCCTGCATGAATAAAGCCTTTGAACTCCAGAAATTATTCCAATTTGATTCACACAAGCTGCAAGGTCTGCTGACACTATGAAGCTATCCAAGAATGGTTTGTCCATCTTAAGCTGAATTACACACTCCTGTTTACTCTGCATCCAATGTACCCCCACTGCTGGTTTGAGAAGCAGTGTGCACACAATATTAGCCACAATCCATATCTATCCTGTTGCTTCTTAGGAAATACTGCGTCTTAATGTGTTTTTCCCTAAATCAGATTTGATTGAAATTGAGAAAAAGAAAAACATAGCTGTGTTTTAAACTAGTTGCTCTAAATTCAGTGGAAAGTTCATAGTTCAGAGGCAGAGCATCTGCTTTCCATGTAGAAAATCTCCAGGAGACAATCTTGCTGGGATAAAACCCTGGAATCTTGGAGTCAGTGAGGTAAGTTAGGCTGAGAGTGAGTGACTAACCAAAAGTCACCCAGTGAGCTTCATGGCTGAGTGGGGATTTATGCATGCCAAAGACAGAAATCCTTTCTAAAATTAAAGCAAAATGAATCATATTTGTTAATAACATTACTACAGTTATAGTATGTAAAGTGTAAAGAAGTAGCAGCTGTGAATGCTCTTCAAATGCAGCATTTTGGAGGTTTTGCAAATTTAATTGGGAATATATCCAAGATTGGGCTTCCAAAGCTTGTTTGGCATTTTGCCCCTCTATCTGAAATCTTTTTCTTACACCCGCCCCCACCCCTCAATCTGAAATGGTTCCCCTATTCAGACAGAATAATACAGTTTTAAGAAAGTGAAATATCCCTCGTCACGAAGATATCTGGGCATGATCCATTGGCAAGGCTTCTTAACATTTGTCGTTCTTTTTTTCTGAAGAACAGGGCCGAAAAGTGTACTAACAGGAAATTCCATTCACAAGATAAGCAGCTGCTCAGTTCAAACATTTCAGCTGACGGTGCAACCGCGAAGGATCTTTTGTACAACTCCCAGCTTCAAGAATAGTCAGCATTCCTTGAATACCCAAAGGAAATGCTCAGAGAACAATTCGTCAGGATGCCTGTATGATTTTGTGTGTTTGTGAAACAGCACATTTGAGAAACCAGAATGGTGGCAGTTGTGTTTGTTTTTTGATCGTT